AAAAAAAATTAGATGAGAAGCAACACCTTGAAACGTTCTATAGTTTCGGACCTGTTCATTTTTCTCTGCCAATTGCCGCGCTGCGTCATCCGCGCGTTTTTTGGCACGCTCTGCGCGACGCATCCGCCTCGCCTCCTCCTTTTCCAGCAATTTCCTCTGTCTTTCTAATCTCAACTCCTCAGCCTCTTCTTCATAATCCTCATCATCCCACAATAGCAGCTTGCACAGTCCTCTTAACACTCGCAGCAGTACAATTAGGAATGTACCAATGACCTAAGCAAAGGAAATATGAAATCTTGAAAATTGACGCAGTTCATCAACCGTGTCAAAAGGCAAACCTTTCCGCTTAGGTAAATTGCCGGAAACACCACGAAGAAGAGAATTAGCCAGAACACCCCTGTAGGTCGATACTCAAGACAGCAGGATGGCGACACCATACTGCTATCGTGCGGATACTGCAACATATCGTATGTCGTTCGCTCCGCAATAAATCCTTCCCATACAAAAAAAAAATTCTAAAGCGTAAAAAGATGCCATGCCCTAAACTAACTTTCCTATGCTATTAATACAGATTATGAGTTGCAACTCACGGTAAATAACGTATGTCTCATAACTAAAATAAATGAACAATAAATAAAAGCGGTCGTGACTGATTAACCGTACTAGAGCCTCAAAAAATGATCACCTTACTCAGTTGTGCTCTTCCTTGATAAGGAAGTGAATCCTGACAGTCTTGTGCGTTTGCTCGTCTTCCACCGTCTCAGTATGTTTGATTAAGCCAACCGCAGCCAGGCCGTATAATAGGCATGGAATACCTGGATCAGATCATGGATGAAATAAACAAACAAAATGCAAAAGATTTGAGCATGAAAGGTGCGAAAGCGTCTCGTCATGAAAATTAGGAAACTAACCCAGATTTGCGATCGTAATCAATCGGTAAAGTGTATTGTCGGCGCTCAAATCTTGTACTGGCCTTTTTGTACAGTGATATTTGATGTAAGGATAGCAGCCGACTCTAAAAAAGAAAACTGGCGACGATTTCTTTTTCTGTAAAAACGCCTCATGTTCATGACATGATAGAAACCTCGTTAGCGGAAACGTTCAACGATCTCATAATGAACAATAGAAGAAGTATCAGAAATGTGATAACAAGAGGGACTGACACGTCCAGGCCTTTTTTGCTGGATGTAGATTAGATTGAGAGATGCAAAAGAATTGAAATTGAGTAAACACAGCTTATCGAGTAGTAGAAGCGGGCGCTGAATAAATGGGTTACGGAATCAGAAAGTCAATCGAGCGCCCGGCTCATTTATCATCAGGGCTGTGAGAAGCTGCGCAGCACGTTCACCACTAAAATCATGTCGAATGTAGAATCTATATCTATGAAATTAGTTAACCCAATTGAAAACAATAACAAAGGGAAGTGACGCTGGATTTCACATGATCTCGATACAATTCTTGGCTGCAGTAAGTGGATAATGGCATGAACTTGAGATTTGGAAAATATGACGAAAAGAGGAGTATAAAACAATGACAAGAAAAATGCCTATAAAAAGCGAGAACTGAAATGATCGGAAGGAAAGAATGATGATGAAAAAGGAAGTTGGCTTATGAATGAGAAACATCGGCTAACAAAAGATAACATCTAAAAAAAATTTGACAAAACAGAACGTTAGAAATGAGAAGAACAGTACAAAGAGGATCAAGAGAAGGATAGGAGAAAAAGGAGGAGAAATTTAACCTACTAACAAGTTGGTCATAGATGAAGAGTAAAAGCATTATGAAGAATCAGGTTCCACAATTATTATAAACATGCAAGTCCCGAATTTTTGGGCCGACAGTATGCACTTGGCGAACTTGTATCGAAGCTATTTTCAAATGACTGTGTGGTTTCCTAGATAATCGCATGTAATTAGTCGCTTTTTAGGATACCAGTATGACAGGAGGTTACTATCT